GGTTGACAAAATCCATCTAACGCACTATTCAGTGCATACTGAATGTTGTTTATTTAAGTGTTACATGACAAGTTGTGCTTTTATTACAGTTCCTCGAGTCACAGTCGCTGCTTATGGCCAAGACGTAACCTGGGAACAGAGCCAGGCTAGTTATATTTCTCTGTTTCCATTCTTTCTGCTAAGCTAAGCTAACTGTCTGCCTAATGCCAACGATTTCTCAACAGACTTTCTGATTCCTACAAATCCTGCATCTTGGTCATTTAATTTGCACCAAAACTGAAGTGATAAATATCTTCTTGTTAAACATAAACTTGTGCTTTTATTGCAGTTCCTGAAGTCACAGTCAGCCAAGAAAAAATGTGGGAACAGAGCCAGGCTAGCTACATGTCTGTGCTCCTCTTCCTTATGCTAAGCTCAGCTAGTTGGCTGCTGGAACTGGGTTCATATTTATTGACAAGTATAAAAAAAAAAAATTTTAAAACGCACATCTTTTGAATGTGAACCACAAAGCTCTAAAGCTGTGCTACAAAACATGCAATATTAACGTAGCTTCCCTGCAAAAAAAACAACAAAAAAAAACAGATAAAAGCAGCCAAAGATCCCAGCTCCAGCACATTTCCTTTATCTCATTAGATCTGTAAGTTGTTGCTGAAAACTGTGATTCCTGTTTTCTACTCGTGTTCTGTTACTTTCTTCGCCTCCCGTGGGTTTTGTTAACGCAGTCTGAGTGCACGAAGCACCTCAGCATGGACAGTTCAAACACAAAAGCACTTCAAGAAATCACATTTTCAGAGACAAAGAGCTGCTGCAGCTCACATAACAGAGATATGAATGTTGGTGAATAGACAAGAAGCTGTAACTTCCTCCTCTTATTTGTTTTTACATTTTTATGCTACATGTCAGAGGGAAATATTGTACCGTGGGCTTTCTGCACATATTTGGCAGCTGTACTTACTAATACTCACAGATACAAGGAGTACTCAGATCTTACACTTAAATAAAAGTACCAAAACCACACTGTAGAAATACTCCGTTACAAGTAGAAATATTTCAATTAAGCAAAACTACAAAAGTAGTAGCATCAAAACAAAGTAACAACAGTAGAAGTATTCAATATGCCGAACAGTCAGAATAATTTTAATGTTGCTGCTGGTAAATGTGACTCATTTCTGATGCCTATGAATTCCTCTTTCCTCTTAATCTATAATATTATATCATAATGTATTAGTTGATTATGTTTTGCAGTAAACGAAACATATCACGTAACTCAAGTTGTACCAAGTAGTAATGCAGTGGAGTAAAAAGTAAAAGATTTGCCTTCGAAATGTTGCAGAGTAGAAATACAATGTAGCAGAAAATGGAAATACCCATGTCAAGAAACTAAAAATTGCACTTAAGGAGAGTAGTTCAGTAAATTGACGACTAATGCCAGATTTCAGATCAAAATTTTACATTAAAAATTAAAAACTTTGTAAAATAAAATGCAAACTAGAGATTAATCCAGTGGTTTTCAGTCTTTTAAGGTCCTCTCAGACATCTGTGAGTTAAAAAAAAAAAAGATTTCTCCTCCTTCAAATGACAAACTATAAAACAACCTACACATTAGAGAATAGTCATAAGAGCTTCGTAAAAGGCAACTGGATTTCTCTTCGTGGTTCTTTATGATGTGTTTTGTCTTCCCCAACTCACATGGCTGAGTACCTGAGACTCCCCATCAGTCAGTTAGAGCACAGGAAGCCTTTTGGATGAGAGTGAAACCTCTTCAAGAACCACAAAGGGAAGTCCAGTGGCATTTTACTGAAGCTTTTAGAATCATTGTGACCTGAACGACCAAGAATCTACACAGATTTTAGAGAATAGTAAAAATAAAAGGAACAGAAACTTGTGTAGAATCTGTTTTTCGTCTGTTTATCCTGCGTTAATCATGTGATGACCTTCAAATTTGCCTTTTGACCCTGTGGAGCAGGCTGCTGACCTTTAGGTTGGAAAACACTGGACTGAACTGAGCAATAAAAGGCTGCGTTAAGTTCTCATAGTGCAGTGTAATAAAAATGTCAGTCACTGGGGATGTTTTTCTGCACTATAAATGCAATATTTTAACATATTTGCACCTTTCAATGAGGATCTGAGCACTTTTATCCATCACTGATAATATGAAATGAGCAAAAATGCTAAAGAAAGCAAAAAAGATAATTTCAATTACTGTAATTTGTGATCACGAGGAAAAAACATAGGGTGCACAAAGAAATGTACAACACAGAATGTTCGTGTTTCCTTAATGTTTGAGCAGAAAGATGACCAAAGGCTCCCTCTGACAGCTGACCACCGAGGGAGGAAAAACTAAAGGCTCTGTTAATGCTCCCTCTTAATGGAAACTTCATCGATCAGTTCGCGTACAAGGGCTCTAATTGTATCATTTTACAGCCGATGGACAGAGAGCAACAAACAAACATCGCAGGTTAACACCGCAGACCTGGGTTTTGTTACGACGAACTCACCAAAAAAAAAAAAAAAAAAAGAACGCTGCGTAAAAAGTCCAACACTTCCTGGAAGAAGGGAAGCGGCGGCAGCAGATCTGGCAACCAACGCCCATAAAACGTTTTCTGTGATCAAACTGCATTAAATTTAGCAGATTCATCCACTTTGCTTTTTTTAAATGAAGCCGCGTTGACAGAATATAAGTGTGCATTTTGCAATTTTGACCGCGATCTTGTGCGTGAAAGAGGATTCATGAAAAAAAACAAAAAACAGAAGTGCTCGGTTATATAACGAGAGAGTGGACTAAAGTCGATGAAACCCAATCGATCACTGCTCACTAAAGAGTCCAATCAGTTAAATATAATGAGCCTGTCATCTGTCAAACATTTTGGAGCAGAAACAAACTCACCTGATAAAGTTTGCGGAAGAATTCTAACTTCTACACTGTTTGTCTTCCTATTGGTCATGTGGCTCTCATGTTACAGAGCGGAGACACACCCAGGCACACAGACACAAAAACACACACACTTACACACACACACATTCTCTCTCTCTCTCTCTCTCTCTCTCTCTCTCTCTCTAGGGTGGTGGAGGACCAAAGAAAGAAAAAAAAGGTTGAATATAATTGTTGCTTCAAACTGATCCACCCATTTGATAAACAAGGGTTATTACAACATTTTAAGAGTTAAATATTACCTGCCTTTGGCTCACTTAAACTTTTAACTGACAAAGTTTTTATATAACAAGGTAATGATGACCAATGATGACAAAAACATCCTTATTTTTGTTTATTAAAAATGAATTAATACATACATGAGCGTGTTGATGAAGATTGTGGTTGATTTTAAATGTTTGCCCCACATATCGCACCAAAAGCAGCACAAATATTCAGTTATTTTGTCAGACATGGTTATTTCTAGGAGTGGGCAATACCCAGCTAGAACCTTTTGGTTCTAAAAATGTTTGGAGAAAATTCTGCAAAGTTTAAGCGATGTTTTTGACAACAAGTTTTCTCAAAGCTGTCAGAATGTTCTTCCTAAAGGTAGGATAACGCTTTTAAAAAGACGTTCTAAAACAGTTTGCTGGTAACACTGCTAGACTGTTACTCCTGAATGTTCTTCAAATGTATTCCAAATTTTGGCCTTGTTCCTTAATGCCTGCAACACTGTGGAACGTTGTGGGAATGTATACGATGTTGGTTTGAGAACACTATACCTTTCGTTATCATGATGCACGATCTGTAGCCCTGACAACGTTCTCCAAACATCAAACCAATATTTTGTGACTTATGTCTGCTTTTCATTCACTGGTTGGTGAAGTTTAGGAAAAATTATGGTTTGGGTTGAAATGCATCCTGTCACATTATACGGCAAACGTTGAAGGATCTCATTGTGTTTGGGAAGAACCAAGCTAGCTGTGTTACCCCTGTTTCCAGTTTTAATGCTAAGCTAAGCTAACTGTCTGTTAGCTCCAGCTTTAAAGGTTAAACTTGGTCAGTCATTGTTGACTTTGGAAACATGTAGTTGACAAAGCAATTCCATCTCAATGTCTGTTTGCTTGTTTTACAGCTTTTAACGATCGATAAGATCAAAATAGCCAAAGTTTTAGACAAAAATTATTATAAACATAGATATAAACATATAATTATTGGATCCTGCTAACTGGTTCACAACATTGCTCATTCATAGGTTGATATAAATGAATGTCAAAGCCTCTGACAGATGTCAAACTAACATTGCTGTATTGCCCAATCCTAGTAATATCCAGAACCATTATCATAACGCTAAGCCACATGAAGATGCATGGCTCGAACATTTTTATGACAGAGAAAAGAAACTACACTTTTGAGAGTAAAAATCAATGCGAGACAACGGATCACATAACCCAGAGCCAATTATACATCAACAGAGAAGATATTTAGGAATGATTTCTATATTTCATTTAGATATTTTCAAGTCTCTGGTAAAGACATTCATAAATTCATAGGTAAAGAGCTGAACACCTCCGTGAGTCTACTCGGGGTGGATACACAGGTAAGCTCTTTTGTGTTTTCCATAGTAGTAGCAATCCTCATGGAAGTTGTTGGTCTCCACCACCGCCTTGTAGTGACTGACAGCATGAACCAGGCAGTTGGGGAAGCTCTTGTTCAGAGACAGAGCCACTGCCATCATGTTCCCCTTCAGCTTCTGCTGCTCAATCTGCTCCTGGATCTGACTCTTGTTAATGGGCTTGGGGTTGACACAGAACGAGACCACCACTTTGATCTTGTTCTTGGTCAAAATGTCAAACCAGTTGGCTCCTCCGCTTCCATGGTACTTCTTTCCCGCCAGCCAGTTGAAAAAGAAAATACGTTCCCTGTCGCTGAAGGCCCGGACAGACCAGTTCACCCAGTCGTATTTCTTAACCAGTGAATCCAGTAGGGTTTTGGTGAAGTCTTGGTCAACAGTGCCGGGATTCTCCTGCAGCTGGTGTTCCATGTCCACCTTGGCTTGCTCTGCAAAGTTCTCTGTACAGTCATCCACTGCTGCTTTCATTCGCTTCTCCACATCTTCCATTCGCTGCTGCCACTTCTTCACCATCTCCTCCCCAACTGCTCCCTCCTTCAGGGCAGCATGGCCCATGACGGCGATAATCCCCACCACGAAAAGCTTCTTCAGCCGAGCACAGAAATCCTCCACCGCCCTTCTGCTCCTCTGCTCAGTGGCGACCACTGTCTCCAGCATTGGGTCTCCGGAGGTGTTCTCTCCAGTGACGGCGTTGTAGAGAGCGTCCAGGTTCAAATCACCGTCAGTGTTCTCAAAATGACTGAGGAACTTCTCCTTCTTCTTCTCCTTGAACTTGGGCTTGGCGTTGACAAAGTCCTGGAACTTTTCATACTGGCTGAGCATCTGAGCCTCTCGGTCAAAGTTCTGCTTGTTCATTGACGTCCTCTGCAGCTCCAGTGCGATTTTATCGATCTCGTCCTGGATCCCCTCGAGCTGCTGATTCACCAGTTCGAATTGTTGTGTCAGGTAGCGAGCCTCTTTGCCCTCCGGGTTGCTGAGGAGCTCAGCCGAGGCCACGAACACGGCCTCCAAGACAGGGTGAAGCTGGCCTACAGTGGAAGCCAGCACCTCGGAGGCCTGGCCCATGATCTCCACGCCTTTCTCAATCTTGTCCCTGTTCTGCACAAGCCAGTCTGCCACACTGTTCATCTTTGTATTGTGTGTTTTGCAATCTAATTTAGAGACTTTGCTGGTGCCTGAAAGAAGAAGAAACATGAAACCCTTGTAAAGTTCATGAAAGCATGGTTTTATGACATTTCAGAAAAATATGGCTCTGCATCTTCTTTCTCTAACTGACATGAAGGCGTTTTTTTTTTGTTTTTTTTTAGACGACATTTTCCTGACAAACAAACCCTGCAATAAAGCCAACGGTAGGTCGTGTCAGTACATGCAGGCATCCAGTTTCATGCCACACCCTGACAGGGACTTGTTTTAAGCCTTGGTGGCACTGACACACATCAAATAAAAAAGTACACTCATGGATGTCAATCCAGAACAAATATCAAACATGGTTTGTGTACTCATGAATTATGACGTGAAGCATTGCGCAATGTTGCAGCACTGGCCCTTTTGGGATGTCAGTTTTACTGCTCTAACAATAGCCAAGACCCAAAGCAAACACAGATGTTCACAACATGGGCAAAAAAAGGGGAATTCACTCCAGCAACGATGGTGTGCTCTTCGATGTAAAATACTCAGGAGAGATGACCTAAGTCATTTCTGGCTCCTTAGAGGCCACGTCTGGTTCAGAAAAAGGCACACCCAGGTCTGAGAGGCAAAAATCCCCACCACTGCACTTGTTCATTAACACAATCACATTTCCCTCCCCATTACAGCCTCAATTTCACTGAAACCAAACACAACCAGATTTTTTTTTTTTTTTTTAAAAAGAAAGAAAGAAACACAAATACAGATGTATGTGTAACCACACAACATATAGGCTCACCAATAATTGCTGCAGTGATGAGATCAGTGGTGTCATTTTACAGCCTTTCCTATCACTGCACTAATTAGATTTACTTTATTCAGTCACATGCCATCACTGTTGTTGTTTTTTTTTGTCCCCCACATTTCTATGCACAAAAAGTGCACCATTTAAAATTTGAAATTACACAACAGACTATAATTCCATTCTGATTGAAGAGAAAAAAAATACTTACTGGGTTACTTATCTTGCTTGGAAATATCTTCTCTTGTAAAAACAACAACAAAAAAAGTCTCCAAAAGTGAAATTTATTGTATTTTATTGAGAGGGGAATAAAACAAAACAAAACAAAAAAAAAAACAAGGCGAGTCTCACACAGCACTTGATCAACACTTGGTCTCCCCTTTCAGTGGTTTGCTACAGAGCTTTAACAGTAAGTCTTCCACAAGACCACATCTCCCAGAGGAATTATCTCTACCTCTGGCATGCTGCTTGGATTCGGACAGCTTTACATATTAAGGAAACAGCAGATGTTATTCTAAAAGATTTTCCCACAGAGCCTCTAATGAAGGTCAGCAGGCAAATCTAAAACTGAAAATTTGACTGTACACCTTGTAGAAAATTAAAGATCTAAGAGATGCTGAGGAGAAAATGAGAAAAAATGAGGAAAAACTCACCTTTTTTGGTAAATATCCAGTAGGGCTACAGTCCAGCTATCCAGTTGTCCAGCTGTGCTTGTGAGCACCAGCCTCCTTAGGATATATGTACCCGCTCTCCCTCTCTCTCTCTCTCTCTCTCTCTCTCTCTCTCTCTCTCTCTCTCTCTGTTTCTCAGTGTCTCTCCCTTTCTCCCTTGTCACTCCCCCTTTGGAACTCCTCCATCCCTTTCCAGCATTCCAGCAAAACCCCACTCAGAGGGGTGAGGAGGCCGGCACTGACACAGATAACATCCTGTAAACACTCCCCCATGCAGGGACACCAAGCACCCTGGGAAAATTACAAAAAAAAAAAAAAAACCAGACTGCCTTCCATTTGTGTGTATGTGTGTGAGAGAGAGAGAATAAAAAGGAGAGCAGTCACAGCCGGCCTCAGAAAAGTGGCCCATCAGGACAAAACCCTTCTTGTTGAGGCTTGACAGTGTTGCCATGGCCACCGCACGACTCCCCCAACTCGAAAGCCTGCAACAAATCGGGATTCATGGTTGGTTGAGACTATCTTTTATATGTACTTGGAAAAGTAACTCCAAGTGCGATGTTTTCATTAAAAGCAACACAAAAACTTTTACAACATTATTTTGATGGAGTTGATGTAATAATGCTGCCTCAACTTAAAACTGTGTGTAACTGAAGCTCAAATGACTGCATTGGTTGACTTAAAGCTAAACTTAAGTTGAGGTAACTTAATAAAATTGGTTTGACGATTGAATTTTTCTTCACCTTGAGTTTAGGAGTTCAACTACCTTCTAATTTGTAAATATTTTTAATGTGATATGACCGATTTTTAGGCCGTTCCACAATTCATTTCAGCAAACTAGAGGGTCCGAATCATAAAGTTTTATTGGACAAATCTGCTCATCAGTGGAGGATTTTTAATATTTATTTCTGATCTGTGTTTTCTGCTTTCAAGATTTAAATTTTGTGTGTTGAAATACACCGCTCAACAAACAATTGCAATGGAAAATTTTGCTGTGAAATTCTTAAATTTCTTAAAAGCTGTTACATTGACAATAATGCGAAAGAGCCATGAACGACTTCGGAAAATCAGATTGGAACAGCTTAACTTTTTAAAATATAAAAACTATGCTTTTTATTTGATGTAGGGAAAACTAGTTGGAACAACTTAATTTTGATGGGTGATCAGCTTGAAAGACTTGTGTTTTAAATCATTAAGTAATTAAAAATACATTAGACTGAAGAGGAAAAGCTAATTCACCTGAGTTAATATAACGTAATTTCAGTAGAAGTTGTCAGAATTCATTTTTTGTTGTTGTGTCCAAACGGTGTGTTTTTTTAGAGCGCGCTTCACTGTAGACATGACGATCAGTGAAGGAAAGCATTGGAAAAACTGTGACATTTGCTCCGTGGCAGCAGCATTTTCACAATCAGTCCGTCACAGCAGCGGCCAGTGAAAGACAGCCTGTTTGTGAGTGCACACCATGACAATCGGAGCTACCTCGTGGCCGCTGTGCTGCATCAAACAGGACGAGGAAGAGCTTTCTGTGGTGAATGGAGGCTGGTCAGCAGGGCAGAGCGTGTTCGCCGCCGCCGCCGCCTTGTTCCTGTGTCATCCCACTGTCACATCTCACACTTTGCCCGCCTATGAGCATCAGAAAGCAGCCTTTGCAGGGACTCAAGAGTATGTGGCGTGATGGGTGGTTCAGGCTGGTAAACAAGCTGTGGAGGCCCAAACATGACGTCGTTCAGCTGGAGGATTCAGACTGTTTTTCTTAATGTTGGCAAAGAAAAGGCCCTGCAAACAAACACTCTCAGACAAATAGCGGTTCCTGAGGAGGATTCTTGGTTCTTCAAAGTGCCATCACTATTTGTGGAGCCTCTTCGTTTAGGGTTTCACACATTCTATATGCTTGAATTAAGTGTTAAAGGTTCTTCATTGTAAAGGAATTATCTGGTTTGGTGGCTTAAAAATAGAGCTGCATTCATTGTCATTGTTTTATAGATCATCAAAAGACCATGAGAAATGCCCAATGTTCTGTCTGATCAAGAAACCAAAATGTTAAGTGTGTTCTAATGGAAGACAGAAAAGTTATAGCCTCTTACGTTTGACGTTTTTTGCTTGAAAATGAAGTCCTGTAATCAATGTACCATCAGGTTTGTTCACAAAAAACTACCTGGAAAATGTGTCCTTAAAGCACTTATTGTTGCTGAAGTTCTTTGGAAAAACATGAAAGGTCTTAGGGTTCTAAGTTTCCCATCACAGTGACTGATTTATGGCTTCTCTTTTAATAACCCACTTGTCTGTAACTGTAAAAATGATTAATAAATGGTCAAAGTGCTCATTGTTTAATCTACACATAATAATTTCATTTAAAATACTAAAAAGAAAAAAAAAACATACAAGAACCTTTAAAAATAAGTTCTTGACTGAACCAGCTGGCTGCACAAATAACTCTCCTGAAAATGTTTCCCTAAAGAACCTGTTTTAGTTAAAGTTCTTTGGATTTAAAATGCCTACAGGAACCATTTTTGATAGTTCTGACAGCTTTGGGGATTATTTTTAGAACTGCTTGCAAAAAATGACTCTTTAAAGAACCTCTTGTTTACAGGTTCTTTATGGAGGTCAAAACAGTTCCTCTATAGCAGCAGTGTGAAGAACCATTTGAGAAAGGTTATTTACGAAACTGCTTGGATGCACGAATAACTATTTTAAAAATGGGTCCGTCAAGAATGTATTGTTGCAAAAGTTCTTTGGATTTATGATACCCAAAGGAATCATTTCTGTGATTCTTTGAAGCATCTTTGGGAGGTTCTTTAGAAAACCGTTCTTTGTCATCTTGTAATATGTTGTTGGGTGATCTAATGAATGACTGTCTGGAAAACGGTTCCTAAAGAACATATTTCTGCTGAAGTTCTCTGGATTTATGATACCTGAAGGAATCGTGTCTATGCTTCTTTGACACACCTTTGGGAACTCTTTAAAGAACTGCTTGCAGAGATGGTTAAAAAATGCCTCCTCTATCGCATCACTGCAAAGAACCAGTTTTGGTTCCAGTTAGCACCTTTATTTTACCCCATGTGTCCTGACATTTAAGGGTTCTTAGCGAACAAATATTGCAGCCTATTAAAAGCTGAAGCATCAGTGGAAAGTGTTGAATCTGTAGAAAAGTTTGTCCTTTGTTGTTTGTGGTTTCAGCCTCTCCAGGTGGAAACATGGTGAAATATTTGAGATAATGACATCCAGCTGAGGGGGGAAAGAGGCACAAAGCTCTGCTGGCATCATACTGTTCTGGCTGACTTCACTCTGCATGTTCCACAAGCTTGACTCAAAGGAATCTCACTCATGATTTTGTGTAATGAGAACATTTTTGGCCGCAATAAAACTGATCCTAAACCACTTCATAAAACCTAACATTTGCATCAACAAACATCAACAAAACACAAAAGTTGTATATTATTTATCAGTGCTTTTTTAACTGGAGTTTACTTCTGTTTTGTCTCATCCCAGATAGTTATTTTTTTGTTGTGTTCCAAAAACATTCTAAAAGTTCTGTTATGTTTCTACTTATGTTTTCATTAGGAACTTTTCTTTTACTTCCAAGAATGCCGTTGTTAATGGTTGGATACGTAAAGATGTTCTAAAAGTGTTTGGTCATAACATTGTCGGACTGTTATGCGCTAATGTTCTCAAAACTGAATGTTGCACTTTGACTGTTCTTCCTTTGTTATCAGGTAACATTGTAGGAACGATTTATAGGTTTTATAATATGTTCCTCAACAATATTCACATTACTGGAACGCCTCATAAAGAACGTTCTCTATCATGGAACACTGTGAGAATCTTTTAGAGAGGAATGTCTCATGGTATGTTTCCTCAAGAACATGCCCACAACACCATTAGAACATTACAGGCCCAATGTTCTCTCTGGTAATATATCACATTACAGGAGCATTTCAGAAAAATCATCTGAGGCCTTGATAACACCTGAAAATGTTGTTTATTAAAATGTTAGTTTGCGAACATTCCTCCTTTATTATCGTAGAACATAATCTGTGTTCCTGATAAAATCTTTTGGATGTTAATATTATATTAGCTTTATACTGGCATTACTGAAAAAAATGTTCTAAATGTTCTAGAAAAGTTCTTTAGAAAGTTCTTTAAACGGGGCTGCACGGTGTCTCTGTGGTTAGCACTGTTCCCTCACAGCTAGAAGATCCTTGGTTCGCGTCCCATCCTGTGGAGTTTGTATGTTCTCCCTGTGCAGCGTGGGTTCTCTCTGGGTTCTCTGTCTTCTTCCCACAGTCCAAAACCAACTCAGGGGACACCATGGACAGGTCACCAGTCTATCACAGGGCTACATAGAGAGACAGACAACCAAGGACACTCACATTCACACCATACAGACAATTTTGAATCACCAATTACCCTCAACATGTTTTTGGGCTGTGGGAGGAAGCCAGAAGTTGTTTTTTTTTCTCTGGGAGCTGAAATTATAAATGACTTTTGTGTTCAAGAACCCTGCTGGTCGTCAATGTTTAATCTTTCTGACCTTGGTCAGTGACTAGTGCTTCCTCCTCACCACAAGATGTCTCCTCAGCTCACATGAAAGGGTTCCGACCACTGCATTTTCTGGAAACACTGTCAATAGCTACAACGATGAGACAAGAGAAAGCACTCATTCATAAGAGATGACTATACATGTAGAGGCAGAAATAGATGCAGACACAAGCTCAAAAGAGGTTAAGTTGTGAAATCAAGACTTAACATTGGTCGAGATTTAAGCACAGCACTGACAAATGTTGACAGCCTGCTCAGACCAGGACACTGTGTCAAATTACTGCACTTAGCAAACACTGAACAGCCTTGTTTCCACCTTAATATCGAAATCAGTCAATAGTATAAAAGGCTGCAGCGAATGAAATATTAC